AGTTAGTTACACGAATTCAGTTATGGGATGAAATCGGATAGGGGTGAAATTGTTTAGGGATGAACGGGTTTAAGAGTTTTAAGAATTTAAGAGTTTTTAAGAGTTTTAGTCAAATGCTTTATAATATAATATAGATAATCTAATTTAAAATGTTTAATATTATTGACTCATTAAATTATAGTAGAAAACACATGTTTATATTATATACAAGGGTTGGGTTCATGTAAGACCAGTCTGTTTTCTTAAGACCCGTATCATTTTTTTATACTTAAAATTTCACAATAAAAACGTTTTATATGCCCCTAATTCCACAACTACTTTTTTTATACTAATCATGTACATGCATGAAACATGAGGCTCCATGATTTTCTTGCAAAATAGATGATGAAAAAATTAATACAACTTCTCATCACAAAAATGAAGTAAAATACAGATTTGGTCCCTGAGGTTTGTCATTTATTATGGAACTGGTCCTTTATCTTTCATTTATTATAAAAGAACCATCCATCTATACAATTCGTCTTGGATTTAGTCCTCCTCTCTAACGTCCATCAATTCTCTCCATTAAATACGAAAGCAAAACGGTCCTTTTACCCTTTTTTATTTAATTTTTTTTACGTTTCTTTACAATTTTTTCAAACCAGGGGCCAAAATGTATAAGAATAAAACTTAGAGGCTCAAATATGAACACAACCATAACTACTCATCACCTTCACCGTGTTCCTTAACCTTCTTTCCATTGTTATCACCATCGTTAACCACCATCTCCACCATCGAGTTCGAATGGTTAGTTCCATTTTTTTAGTTTTTAACTTTTAATTTTAGATTTATTATGTTTCTAGAAAAAAAAATTGCAATAAAAGACTTGAACACAATAAACTAACAAACAGACAAGCGATGATTTTATGAAGAAACAAAATTCTATCTTTGTTTCTTATAATCAAATGTTTCCACCAGACTGCGATTGGGTCTCATTCATCTCAACCAAGTTCGAACTGGATCACAATTGGGTCCCTACCATCTCAACCGGATCGAATCAAACCTCTAAAACAGTTCCAAATAAATGGAGAAAACTGGGAATCAAGATTTTAGTCAACTATAACCATTAGAGACAGGGATCAAATCCAGACATTTTTGTAAACCATAATGGCCATCTTTTAATTTCGAAACTGTAAGGATGAAAAGTGTTACTTTTGACAAACCACAAGGATCAAATTTGTAGTTTACTCTAAATTTTAATTACATTTTTTGTCCTCGTGGTTTGTTAAAAATTGCAATTTTCGTATCTGTTGTTTAGAAATTACGATTTTTGTTCTTGTGATTTGTAATTTATTGTTATTTTTGTTCTTATAATTTACAATTTATTATTATTTCGTTTACAATTCTTTACTATTTTGATCCATTTAGACACGAAAATAACAATAAATTACAAACCATAGGATGAAAATCGTGTTTTACTCTACTTGATCAAACTTATATCTAGGTAACACTCGGTTACTCGTAATCATAGGCATAATCAATACACATATTTACATGCGTAAGTCGATATTACATGCATATTATACGAATAGATACATCATAAAACGTTTGAAAGACTGAGAAAACGCATTGAATTTTGGTCTCCTAAGCTTTTAACATCCGAAGGTAATCGTCAATGATGGACATAGCCGATGATCGGTAACCCGAACCAAAGAGATTGTAATGGTTCAAGTAATGGTATAACAAATAAACATCTCGTCTTTTCTCGAACCCTGGTTGCTTCGGCATCACCTAAAAGAGGACAAGGATCAAGATCCCATTGCCACCACCAGTAAAACCAAACGGACCCAGTAAGTCATACGCAGATGCAGGGCATCGGGGTAGGATGTACGCACACATTGCCTCTACACCAACTATTTTCTAGAGACGTATGAAAAAGCCCAAACCCGATATTAAAGCCCAACTAGGCCAACTTCTTTTTTCTAAGGCTTGTTTAGAGTCGGGCCCGATTAGGTTTGGAAGGCCAGGGCCCAGGCCCAAGGGGTAGAGAGGTTGTTTCTGTGAATACCCGACTGACAAAACAACTAAAAGAAGAAAGCAGGCAATCTACGAGCGAGAGTGTGTGCAAACAAGCAACAACAGAAAATTGAAGTCAACGACAACAAATGGTCAACGTCCAGTAGTTTTAGACGGATATCGGATTTTCAAATATCCGTTTGAATTATTGCGAAAACGATGAATGTAAGTATGTACCTCAAAATAGGCATTGTAGAACGAGCCTCCGAAACCGGCACACCATGACATTCCGAATTCTGCTTCATTATGTCCATCTACATGACATTCAAGAAAATATATTTATAGAAACGGAGAAAAAGAAGTCCGTTACTAATCTTCGTTTTGTGGGACCCGCTCCAATTTACGCTTGTATAATGAACGAAAATGAAAAATAATGAAACGATAGATCCTCATAGTGGTTGTTTATGACCTTTAACCATTTAGAGGTAAGATCTGCATACATCTTACCTGTGTATGAGATATACTAAGTTTGTTTGGTTTGGTTTATTATAAAGTCGACTATTTTCCTCTCGTTTTGATTTCCATTTTGTACAACGCATCTAACCTATCTCCACAACGCGCTCGTATAACCGAAATGGACCCACAAAATGAAAAACCGTAAAAGAAAGTCGACCCCACTATATTCCCAACATCTGTCACATATAGATTCGGTCACGTATACATGACTGTTTGATAGTGGCTTAATGATATAGAAAGTGGCTTATTGAGTAAGCTTCTAAGGAGCTTTATGTAGAAAGCCAAAAAAAAAAATTCCAAGCCTGTGCTATCCAGTTAAACTTTTAACATCATCCTTCCATCTATGAAAAAACCCTCAAAACAAAAACCTTCCCAATCTATACAGACAACTTTATCCATACAGATAGTGTTATCCATATATCACTTAATGGAAAACCAACCAAACAACCCCTCAGTATGTCCCACCCAAAGGTGGGGTCTGGGGCGGGATGTATGCAGACTTGACCTCTACCCCAAATAGTACAAAAGGGTGTGGTTAGGAACCGAATTCTGAAAACCGAATGCGCACTTACAATAACAAGCAGGATCGAGTATAACGGGCTCCCCATTCTTGTCGGAACTGATATTCCCGCTCCATAGGTCGCCATGTAATAAACAAGGCTCGATCGTTACATCTTCAAACAAAGCTCCAAGATTTTTCACTAGTCTTTGTCCTACATTTAGATCACAACCAAGATAACAACAACAAGAACCATTCCTAAAAAGAGATGCAGTTTGACCTTTCGGGTCAAACCATCTACGTTCCAAATCCAAAGCAACCGTTTAGGCACCCGTCAATGTCCGGCTAGCTTGGGGCCCTGAAGATAACAGCCAGAAAAATCCCAGTGGCCCTGAGGAGACTTGAACTGGCACCTATAAAGGCCTCGCCTTTATTTGCCGATTGATAACCTTTATTTGGTTATGTGATCCTAAAGTACTCTTTTTTTAGTCCAAGAAAGTACTTTAGATCACGAACCAAATAAACCCAGTAAATTTCACACGGAGTGGGGTGTGGGGAGGGTAAGAAATAGATCATAGACCTTTTTCGTATATAGCCGAATCACCATATTGTTGTTGTGCTAGCTTAAGTTGAAAGGTCAATCGATGCTCGGAGTAAAACTCGATCCAATCTGACGTCCACGTGTTTATCTGTGGCGTGCTACATGTCACCACTCGAGCTTGTTAAACAAGAGCAATGAAGTCTAGAGGGTATCGTAAAAGATAAAAAGATTAAAAACCCGTAAAAAATATTCAAAATGGTTTCAGAAGAACCAAAAAGAACGTATTTCTTGAGTCGTTTCTCATTTTCGTATTGTGCGTTTCCATTTGAACCATGTAGATTCCTACAGCCGGCGGTTCATAATGTTCTTAAGCCGACTTGGGTGGTCTGGTCCCATAAAAACCAAACCAAACCATCCCAGCATTATCCCACCCGAGGGGGGGTGGGTGGGAGGGTAAGATGTATGTAGACCTGACCTCTACCACAAGGAGTATGTGGTCCAATCCCTTGTACTCCCTCCATCGGAAAATAAATGTCAATGATGAAAAAGAGACGTACAGATTTAGAAATATGTAATTATTACACTTTTTAATTAAGACAATTTTACCCTTAATAATAGAGGGAGATAGAATTTCCCCATCTCATGACTAAGGGTAAAACTGGAAATTATGCACTCACTTTTGAAAGTGGACACTTACTTCGAGACGGAGGGAAAGAGAGGTAAATGAACCTGCCAATGGTATTGTCGACATGGAACCCGAAACCATTTTCGGATTTTGTGGCTTTATGCATCTCCGCGAGCTTCCTTCCTAGCAAAGACTAATTTAATAGAAAAATTAAAAGAAAATCGTGAACCACGATTGAAATGCTAAAAAGCGTATTGAGGGTTTACCTGATCACCTCTCGATGAACCAAATTCTATGAATTCCATAATGATATACGAACCTCCGGTAGGCAATGCACCGACCTTCAAGAACCAAAGAAACATAACGGTTTTCAGCTTTTCGACATGAGCATCGAGTGTTTGTCTACGAATGAAAGTGCAAATCCAAGACAAATATCCCAATCATGCTTCAATGAGTAAAAATAAAGTAATCACGGGACTATATCAGTGTCATCGACTTATTTGTAAAATATGTCGAGTGTAAAATGACATAATTACCCCTCAAGAGAGGGGCACATGAGTGACTAACGAAACTCAAGTCAACGGTATCTAAACCGTTTAATGAGTTCGATTTAAACTATAATTCATATTGTTTCGCATGTTTTGTTCTTTTGTGTGTGTTTCACATATGAAACGTATTTTCATTTCTTTTTCGCATGCACAAACAGTCCTGAAGGTTTCACATATGAAACAACACTGTATGCACTTCGCATGTTTCACACGTGTAGTTTCATATATGAAACAACACAAGAAAACGGGTTCGCGGATTTGTAACGTTGATTTTCCCTCAAAGGAAACTTACCTTAAATGGTAACGTTTTGTCGGAAATTCAAATACAGGAAACTTACCTTAAATGGTTGAGGAACACGAATAGATTTTGTTTCATACATCGCTCGTAACCCCAACGCCTCTCCTTCGAACATCTCCGGTCCAATACTCCTAAAACCAAGTTTACAAACACCTTTTCGTCAATGCAGTCAGAAATGACAAAAATGTCCTTAGAGAAAGTATGCATCAATAAACAAAGTATAAAAGCCAAAGCAAGCTACAAAGGGTATAATTGGAAATATTGACACGGGTCGATAAAAAAAGGAACCTGTTTGTCTTAACGAAGAAAGAACCAGCATCAGTATTGTATCGGCTAGCAAGATTAATGCAACCACCACCAACAGGACTAATCCCCGTTATCTGACTTGCTTTTCCTTCAGATAGAATCCATTCTCGTACCGGGTCCGTACTCACTGTAGCCACTGTCAACAGCGAAAAGTTTAGACGATCATAATGTCACTTTTCTAAAAGATTTTTTTGAAAAGAAAACGTAGCTTGATCATAATGCTTACCGGGTAAGCATTTACCATGGCAAGGACCAAGAACCTTATAAGAAACTTACCCGGTAAGTGAGGGAGAAGAAGACTCCTAGGGGCTGTTTGGTTGGTTTTTCATTAAATCCTGTATGGATAAAGTTGGCTGCGTGGATTAATATGTCTGTATAGATTAAGAAGGTTTTTGTTTGGAAGGGTTTAGCGTGTTTTTAAGTGGAATGGGCTGGTTTGGGAAAAACTTAGCTTTCTACATAAAGCTCCATCGAGAAGCTTACTGAACAAACCACTTTCTAAGTCATAACACTACCAAACAATCATGTATAACAGACCAAATAAACTATGAGTCCCGTTAAGCTCATTAAGCTGCTAACAAACAACGCCGAGGCCCCCTCAGTTGGGCTAAAACACAAGAAATTCAATGTGGGTTGTTTTCAAAAAGCTTAAAAACTATAACTTCATTACAAATTAAGCCCTAAATTGATGCAATAATTTGAAAACATAAGAGAGAGCAAGAAGAGACATACATTCAAAATTCACAAATTCAATTCAGATTGCAGAAATAAAGAGCAAGTTCATACGAAATCGAACGAATCATCATAAATTCACGAAGGGTAACGATTATCTACGTATAAAACGATTTGACTGATCTGAAATCGAACCTGTATGCTACTAGAAATGAAACCCTAATAGCAGAATCTTGATTAAAAATAGAGAAGATGATACTTACTAGCCATGGGTTTTTGCAGACGAATCGAAAATGGGTGTGAAGAACGAAAGAGATGACAAGAAGAGGTGGAGGAGATGACACCCAACTGTGCCACCATTCTTGAAAACACACACACACACTTTTGCCCCCTTTTTTCTCACCGGAGCTTTTTAATCCTACTCATCACCAATAATTGGTGGAGGTTTCCTTCTTGGATCCCTTTTTCTTTTTGTTTGGAGTATTCTTAAAACGGAATACAGAAATGGTTAGATTTAGTGGGGTGTCAAGAAAACAGATTGTCTCGTAGTGTCGAAATGGGGTCATCCCATAGTGTCGAGCAGCGGCTAGACGAATATAGATTGTTGGGACTTAGGAGTGTCAAGAAACTAGATTGTCCGAAATGGGGCCATCTCATTGTGTCGAGAGGGGGCTAGACGAAAAAAATTTGCCCCAGAGAGTGTTGGTTGGATACAGATTGCCACAAAGTGTAGAGAGGTTCTAATATAGTTGATACAAGACTCTTAACAACCCCCCGCGCCCCGCCCCGGGCCCCGGTAACAAGAGTTAGCTAGAAACAAAAAGAGATCATCCCAAAGTGTCGAAAGGGGGCTAGACGAAAAGAATTGTCCCATAGCATCGGGTACAGATAGCTCCAAAGTGTCCAGAGATTCCAATATAATTGATATGGGACTTCAACACACCCTCTTTAAAATGTCTAAAGGGGGCAAAATGAATACAATTGCCTCAGAGTGTCGAATCGCTAGTGTAGTAGACCTTGACTCTGATACCATGTGAGAATATATGAAACCCATTATATTACTCTTCAAAACAGTCTTTCAGGAGAGAAGAGAAGTTCTAACATATACAGATAAAAATGAAAGTCTAACTGATACGAGACTCCAACAACCAACTTTCAAATGATTATATGATAAAAGAGGGATTTATAGCATTCATAAGCAATATCCACCTTTGTTAAATTCCACAAAAGAAAAAACAAGTATATACACCCATTTCAAATCCTTCAAATCCCAAATAATATGTCATCTTTCTGCTTCTGTCACTGCTTCTGAATCTCCCATGGCCGAATCAGCTCGGTTTTGACTTTGACTTTGACTGCTTCCTTGATCGGAATGCGGTAGGAGCCACTGTCGGGAATGCTCCATCGAAACCTCTCTCGAAATCCCGGGGCTGTTCACGGCCGCGATGATGCAGAGGCGACACACAGGGCAAGTCGACTGCTTTCGTAGCCATAGATCTATGCAAGAAAGATGAAAACTATGCCCACATTTCGGCATGATTCTTAGTACCTCTTTCTCTTGGTATTCGCCTAAACATATCGTGCACCTGTGATTTTTCAAGAAAACGTTATCAACCGAGGGTATTTTTGCAGTTTTGGTGGTTCTAACATCTAACACCACAACACAGTCGGCTTTATAGAAAGCCAAAAATGTCTTAATGTCCTAATAGACTGCTTTATAGACTAATGGGTTGTTTGACAGTTGCTGAATGGTTTGGTGCAAAATGATTAAGTGGTCACAATGATTAAGAGACTTTCATGATAGTGCAAAATGAAATATAATTGTTTGGTAATTGTTTACAATGAAATCAGGACACTTAATGGTTAAGGGAGACTCAAGATACAAAATCATTCAAAGGTTTTTGTAACCATGGAGAGGCAGACTTTTTTTTGCCAAACAAGATTCGCCTCTTAATAATTCAGATGTTGCCTCTTAATGGAACTATTAAGATGTAAACAAACAACCCCAATTATATAAAGGTGTAACAACAGGATGATAGGACATTTTTTGGGCATCCTGACAAGTTTTTTAGAACACTTTTGAAACAAAAGTGTACTGTTTATGGGACACTTTAGAGAACTATCCTTTTTATAGGATACTTGTTTTTATAAGACACGTTTTCAAATAATGTTACTCCCTCCGTCCCAGAATAAGTGTCCAGTTTCAAAAATAGATAACTAAATTTCCAAATCTACCCTTAATTAATACACATGTATTTAAGAGTTGATAAGATAGATAAATTAGTCAAGGGTAAAGTTGTCATTTGGTTAACTAAAAAATGTAATAATTTTGCATGTCTAAAATTGTGCGTCATTTCTATTGTGAACACTTATTTTGGGACGAAAAATATATAATAAAATTGTCCTGACAACTTGTAATGCTGCCAAAAAGCGTCCTATCAACTTATTGTAACATCTTTACATAAGACAAACCGGTCTATAAAAGCAGTCTACTAGAACATTTAGACATATTTGACGTCCTATAAAGTCAATTTTGTTGTAGTGTAGAGATATTAGCCGAGTAGATTCCAACCTCCTTAGAGGTCAAAGGTTCAAGCTTCACCAAGTGTGAGGAGTGTGTGTGAGTTTTGCTGTATATAAATATTATATACTTAAAAAATAAGATATTAGCCCGGATCCGGGTGAGGTAGGACCGAACTTACTGGGCATCCTCCATTGAACCAAAGGCTTCACGTTCGAACTTCATGGTAGGAATGGCTGCAACCATAACCGGTTCAAGGCCTGCGATCCGATGATGCTCTTGCTGCCATTGTGTTTCCAAAAGTTGGAACGAAAACGTCGTTAGAGCACAAAAACACATTTACAACTCAAAATACACATACCAAATTCTATAACGAAAAATCCAAAGTAGTGCATATAACATCACCGGCATAAAATACGATTATAAAGTGTAGTTTGCATAGCTTGATCGAATCAAAACAAGGGTATTTTCGGGAATTCTAATATCATGATCCTTTTTCAGAGAGTTTTGATCTTGTTAACCATTATCGACACGTATCTATGATCATTGCAAGCTATTTGAAATCGAAATCAATCTCAAAACTGTAAACGAACCCTTTTAAAGCAAGAAATCAATTACTTTTCCGCTCTTGTTGATCAAAATCTCGGAATTGTAATTCAAGTGGAAATCAACAAACCAAACAAACCCCCACGTAGATCTACGGTCCGGCAGGCAAGATGTACGCATAAGATATATGCAAATCTTTTTTTTATTAACCTGATATCCAACCCGCTATGCGAGCCGACTAATCCCAGGGTGACTACCTGCTTTGCAGATAGCCCGGAGCCACCGCATTTGAAACTCCGTGGCTACAAGGGGATTTTTATTCCTCCTTGGATTTGATTATGGGACCTCCAGGTATTTTTGACCTTTGGAGCCAAGTTCAAACCAATCAGGCACCACCCTTGTGGTTACAAATCTTGCCTCTATCCCGAAGGGTAGAGAGACTGTTTCCGTGAAAGAACAAGATTTTCTAAGGATATATCGACACACAAATCAAGAAACATAAGCACGAGGTTTTAAGGATCGAAAAACATACCATCTCAAGGTCAATCCTCGAGTCAATCTCGAAGGGTTGTCGTGATTCGTATCGACGAAACCGTCCACAAACGAGTCGAGCGCATACAAATACAATGAAAGTGGCACTCATTGCAAAGCCTATAACTGTTGTGATCAAATTCATATTTCTACCAAACATCTAAAGCAAACCAAACAAACTCCAGTAAATTCCACTCGGAAATAACACAGCTGAGATGTACACAGACCTGACCTCTCTCTTAAACAACTGATTCCCAGAATCCCTCCAACTTATTTTCTAATCACTTCAATTCCCCAAAAAATTCAAGAAAATGCCCAGAAATTATGAAACAGAACCCTAATTACAGAATAAGATTCAAGAACAATGGAGAAAGACTAAAGAAACGGATCAAGATTAAGACCCCAAATTAACAAGGAGTACAAAGAACTGAAACAAACCCTAATTACAAAAATGAGATTTAAAGATAATCAAACATTAATTAAACCCTAATTGTTCAACCAATTTCCATTTAAAGCTATGGAAGAAAAGCTAAACTAAGAACCCTAATTACAGAATCAAGAAAATCAAGACTAAAACCCAAGATTAACAATCTTTAATCAAGATTATGGAAAACCCTGTTGCAAAAACACAGGAAACAACATTATGAACATGTTTAATTCACAACAATATCAAGAACGTCAACCAAAGATGGAAAAAATTGCACAGATTCTTGAGTCTTTTCTAGCAAGATTTCAAGAAATCCAACAGCAAAAAAGACTTCAATCTCTGATCAAATCAACAAGAAACACCAAAAAATAATGAAATCTGATCAAACCCCAGATCAAGATTCATCAAAAAAATGATGGGATTTACAGAGGATGGAGGGAAATGATTGGGGAAAGAAATGGAATCCACCTTCTCTTTGGGTGGACTCAAAGTAAAAAGAGTGTTGGAGCCATTGATAGATGAGAAGAAGAGGAAGAAATTTGAGACCATTCTCCTTGTGATTTTCTTGCTTGGCTTGCTCCTTTGGACTTGCATCTGAGGTGGGTCCATTTCCATGGCTAAAGGGGTCCCACCTTGGTGAGTGTTGCCTGGATTTTCTAGGTCTAGATTTAGAATTCACTACAAATAGAAATGGTAGAGCAAAAAAGGTGATTTCAAAATAAAGAAGATAAAAGAATTGATAGACTCCACAAGACATGAGTGAGTGAGTGAGTGAATGAATGAATTCTTAAAAGATCCACAACAAATGAATGACCTGAAAAGAGGATCTATGGCAGCTTTCTTGTTTTAAAGTGTCTTTCTTTTTCTTTTTTTTACTTTTCACATGATATGATTTCTAAATTTTCTTATATGGATAATTATAACATGATTTCTGATTGGTTTGAGTTTGGTTTTAAAGGTTAAAAGTACCTGGAGATTGCAGGTTTAAGTCCAAGTAGAAATAAAAATTCTCCTTGTGGCCACGGATGTTCAAATGCAGTGACTCCGGGCTATCTGCAAAGTAGGTGGTCGTCTTGGGATTAGTCAGCTTGCATAGTGGGTTAGATATCCACGTTAATCAAAAAAAAGATTATATGGATATGTTAAGGAGAGGCTTATTGGAAATTGATTCAAATGATTATTTCTTATATTTAAATTGATCTCTTAATCATTTTTTTTATGGATTTATCTAAATGTTACTACTTTTGTAATATTTAGGTCTGTAATATTAGTTAAAAGGCAAAAAAAAAAATCAACACAAATCTACAATGGTGACGGTAAACTGGTTGAATTTGAATTTTTTTTTTGTCTTTTAGCTGATATTACGGATCTGGATATTGCAGAAGTAATGACATTTGAGTAACTTGGGAAAAAATGATAAGGAGATCAATTTAAGTGTGAGAAATGGTCATTTGAGTCAATTTCTCTATAAATAACTATATCAAAAAAATATTTTTTCTTTTAGTTATCAGATTTTTTTTACAAAATAGTAATAAAAAAAAACTGCAAGTCAATGTCGAAAAACACTGTTCTTTGTGGTTTCGCAAGCTGCTAAATGGGCTTGTGGTTTCTCAAGCCCAGAGCTTGAGACTTTGCCTAGATTTTTTGCGTAGATGATACTGTCATGATAGAGACTACAATAGCGCCACTTGTGGACTTTTATTAGTTTTTGTGGTGGGTCCATTTTTTCACTCGATATGTCAGATTTGTCAAAAACCGCAAAGAAATGTGTCTTACAACGTTAACTTACGGTTTCTTTTATGTTTATTCTTATTAATGACTCGTTAATACCTTCTACCAAACATCCCTAAAGGGTCGTTTATCAAACACTTACCCGATAAGCGTTTACCGATAAAATTTAACATTATCATTTACTTACCGGGTAAGATTTTAGTCCATTAAAATGGTATTATGCAACAATTTACCAGGTAAGAGTCGTCACCCTCACTTATAACAACTAATTTCAGGAGAAAATTATCAGGTCGAGCATCACAAGTTTGCTCCAAGTATTAGTTATGTCCCTGTAGGCCCATAAATCCCTTTTTTCAAAACAAAATATTCCATATGTCGATAAGAAACTACAAAGACATAGATGCGTACATAAATAAGTCTGAGTCATCTTATCTACAACTTGCAACTCCCCAAGCGTAAAATAACAGAATGACACAGTAACCCTTAAATCAGACTTAAATTCATGATGAAAGTTATTGATAGTTTACAACTTAAGACTTGTAACAAATTCACATTTTTTAAAACCCATATGAGAAAAGGTTGTCACTGATCTCATATTCCAGTTATATGATATAAATTATCATACAACTGGTTAATAATAAAACTGATAAAAATAAAAGTTATGAGAGAGTCATAATTATGACATGAAATCAAGTTCTAAACTTGCAATTAGAGAAAGAGAAATTCTGAAAGCAAAATCAATGATATTAAATCATGATTCTTAGCCCTTGAGTGTTCCCTCATTACTTGGTAATTTGGGATTCCATGGGGATGGGACCTACTTCCATCAATGGTTCTTAGGAATCATCTTTATTCAATTTTAATAGATCACTCATGAATATATATATATATATATATATATATATATATATATATATATATATATTATAGAGAGAGAAAAAAGTAGAGAATAAGTATTAATTGCTTTTATGAATAAATTGAATAACTTTCATATCTAAACTATATTATAAAATATTTGACAAAAATCCTTAAAAACCATCTTTTATATATAAAGTATTGTTTATTGATATATATTACTTAAACTTTAAATGTTACAAGTAAATTTTACATAAGTACAACTTATTAAGCTCTATGTTTGAATTCGTGTAACTAACTGTAGATAAATATTATCAAATACAGGATAAGTTTTTATTTTAAATAGGATTAGAATAATTATTGAGTTATAATAGAAAAGTTAGTTATTATCTTTATAAAAATTATATTTATAAACTAAAAGTAAAATACTTCGTCATTTAAACCTAGATTAAATTATAATAAAAAATTAAATTAAATAAATTACACAAAAAAATAAATAAGAACTTTTAGGTATTTTTAATTTTTATGATATCTTCGAATTTATATATTATTAAAAAAACATTATTGTTTGCTCAAAACTACATAAATTCGCATTATAACATCGACAGAGACCAAAAAAATAAAATTAAAACATTAAAATCAAGAGATATTTCGCTCTATTGTGCGAGTACCCTTCTAGTAGACTCTAAAAAACTAAGGGGACTTTTATATTTTTGAATGATTAAATTTTTCAATATTTTTGAATAAATAAATATTGTATTTACTGAAATCGAACAAATAACTATTTGGATTTACTAAAAACGTAAAAAAAAAGTCAACAAACTTTCATAATTTAAACGATTAAGTTTCTAAACGTCTTTTTACACAGAAACACTTAAAGAAATAAAAAGTATTTATCATTTATTTCTCGATGTATTGACAGATTAAGGGGTGTTTGTTTACCTTTTAACAGTTTCATTAAGAGACAACCTTTGTATCATTAAGAGGTGAAACTTGTTTGCTAAAAAAAGTTTGCCTCTTAATAGTTCTAAAACCCTCTAAATGGTTTTGTATCATGGACCTCTCTTAACCATTAAGCACCTTAATTTAATTGTAAACAATTATATTTCATTTTTCACTATATAAGAGAGTCTTTTAATCATTCTGATCACTTAATTATCATTCAGCAACTGCCAAACATCCCCTAATACCAAAAATACAATGAACCAATCAGGCGAAAATAATATACCATTTTCATTTCTTTAAGTTATTATTTAAATTATAATTACACGATCATAACAAATATATGTGATTGTCATTTTTAATCTGAAAATTAAATATATGACTAACGGAAATGATATATTCCTTTAGTTTTACTGGTTCGTTGTACTTCATTACTGATTTGTTGATTAATCGAGAGAGAAATGATACAGTTATTTCTCTCTTTATAACTGTAAGGATTTATATTTTAAAAAAGTGAGTATTAGCAACAACAAGACTATCATATTAAAGTAAAGACACTGGAAACATCCAAACACCTGATCTTTCAAAACATTAAAGTTCGTTAGATTTTTTACGGTTTTAGTAAGTTCAAAATTTATTTATTCGACAAATAGAACAAATAAACTCGCACACCCTTCTCACATTTGGTGAGGTTTGAACTCCTGATTTGTAGGAGGTCAAAGACTCACATACCGCTAGGTCAAAAACCCTTTGGCGTATCATGTTCTGTTACAACCCAAGAAAATAAAAATAAAAACTGTTATTTTTTTTTAAATAACAATCAATATCGAATAAAAACGTTTAAGAATAGAATCTAATCAAAGATAAATTGCTTGCTTTTCTTAGATTCAAAGTCTTTCATTCCGTTTCTCCTTCTTTAATCATTCGTTTTCTATTTCTCGTCTGGTTTTCATTGATTGTTTATATGATTTAGACCTCTAATCGATGAAAAAGAGATTTCAGTTATAATAATTTTTAAACAAAGAAACTGTTTGAGAGTTGCTGAACGGTTTTGTAATGATCAAGTGGTCTGAATGATTAAAAAAAAACTCTCATGATATAGTGCAAAATGAAATATAATTGTTTGGTAATTGTTTACAGTGAAATTAGGGCGTTGAATGGTTAAAGAATGTCTAACATACAAAATCATTTAGAAAGTTTTAGAACCACTAAGAGGAAATTTCTCCTCTTAACAATTCAGAAACTGCATTTTAATGGAATTATTAAGAAATAAACAAACAACCTCTAATTATAATGTATTGTCGGTTATACTTTAAAATAATAAATTTTCCTAAATAATAAAAATAGTAAATTTATATTATCATAACTAGAAGGGTAGATAAATCTCGATTTTAATGTTTCGTTTTATTCTGTTCCATATCGATGTTATAATACGATTTTATGTGGTTTTGAGAAAAACGATAATGTATTCATTTTCGAATAAAATATAAATTTGAAAATATCTTAAGATTAAAAAAATATATCGATATTAGCATCAAATTAACTATTTAAAGGTTCTTGTTTTGTTGTGTAATTTCTTTAATTCAATTTTTTTGTTATAATTTAATTTAAGTTTAATAACGAAGTAATTTATTTTTTGATTTAATAATATAATTTTTTATAAAGATAATAATTAGATATTCAGTCATAACACAATAATTATCCTAATTATATTTTAGATTTTTTATATTTAAAATGAAATGTTTATCCAATATTTGATTATGTTATCTGCAGTTTGTTACACGAATTCAAGCATGAGGCTTTAATAAGTTGTACTTATGCATTATCTACTTGTAATATTGAATTCTAAGTAATATGCATCAACAAACAATACCTTATGTATAAAAAATGGCTTTAAATAGTTTTTGTCAAATGCTTTATAATATAGTATAGATAAAACAGTCTTAATGAATTGATAAATATTCTTTGAGATTGTTGGCTCTAAAAAAATACTGATAGAGTATTTACATATCATTTTCTTTGATGACG